AAACAAATAAAGTGCAGTGAATTGGAGTGCAATAAGCGACTAAAATACGAGATTATAGCCTACCATCATCCACCAAGACACATTTGATTTTAAAATCTAAAACATTAAGAGAGATTACTCGGGCATCGTTGTGCGGTAGCAGTAGTCCATCTGCGTCTTTCTCCGTGAAAGTAATGTCATCCTCAGCGACTTTCCAAAGTCTCTTACTGTGGGTTACTGACACCTTCATCTTTTTTGCCGCCGAAAATATCACACCATTAATCTCGTTCCCCCGAAAATCATATTGATCGTTAGATGAGGAGGATTTTCTCCTGCTTTCGAGGGTTTCATGTTATCACGATTGCGGCCATAGTTGTTTTTAGCCCGGTCGCTTAAGAATTATCTGAGATGGCCATTTTTCAGCAATGTCGCCACCTCCTCGCGCAAATATTGGCAATCCCTAGTCCGGTGACCGTTGGTCCTATAGTATTCGCACCACAAATTAGGATCTCTTTGACTGGGATCGGATCTCATTGGCTTCGGGAACCATGCTTCCTTAATGATTCTCATAGCCGATACTAGTTCCACTATGCTGACACTGAAGTTGTATTCGAATAGCCTGGAGGAATCTCGGGAACCCGATATCTCCTTGTCCTACAATGATCTGTTATTTCGGCCGTGATCAGTTCTCCTATCAGTAGCAAATCTATCCACTGATCGGAAACCTCTGTCGCGTCCTTCGGCCTTTTCATAGGGCAAAAATCGTCTTCTAGAAGACTGTCGATCTGTGTCGAAATCATCCTTTGATTTCTCCTTATTCTTCTCCCAGTCCTGATCCTTGGTTGATGCCGGGAAACCGAGATGGTCATCCTCAATTCTTATCTTCGACTCGTGCCGGTTGTGAACATCCACCCATATTATAGCTTGGAACTCAAGCAAACTTTCTTTCAATTTTTGAGAAGCGCCGAAACTTCTCAGATTCAGCCCTTTAGTAAATGCTTCAGCTGCCCATTCGTCCGGTACGACAGGAAGTAGCATCCTTTCTTTCTGGAATCTGGTCACAAACTCCCGCAGTAATTCGGACTCTTATTGTGCAATCCTGAATATGTCGGTCTTTTGAGCTTGTACCTTTCTGGCCTCAGCATAGGCCATGATAAAAAAAATCTGTGAGCATCTCGAAAGAATCTATTGAGTGCTCGGATAAAAGCGAATACCATGTCAGGGCCCCCTTTATGAGGGTCTCCCCGAATTTTTTCCGTAAGACTAACTTAATCTCGTGCAGAGCTAAGTCGTTCTCCTTCACCGTCGTTGTATATGTGGTGATGTTCCTGAGGATATGAAGTCATATCATATTTCGGCATGTCTGGCATCTTGAACCACTTCGGGATCAACTCTGGTGTCGCGCTTGGTTTGAACGGCAACTAGGTGTATTTCTTTGAATCCGGTCCTTTCAATACTGGTGGTGCGTCCCGGATTTGATCCATTGGGGCATTTATTTCCCTCATAAACCACATGAGTTCGGTTTTAAAGGGATCATTCTCATTGTTGTTCCCGGGACCGCTATCGTTCCCCCTCCCTATCAAAGCCGACTTCGCCTATCGGGGTGTTATTTTCAACCCTCTGCGCTGTTTGGTTTGCAGGAGTACCGAAAGGAACTGAACCTTATCCATTTACGTTGTTGGAAGCACCCGATAACGCCTGCCTTAACTTCGACATGACCTGATCCTGTCGCGAGAGGTGGCCCATAATAGCCTTTTGTTGCTCCATCAAGATCCTTATTGTTTCAGCAACATGATCATCTTCAACATCATCAAGAGTTGTCTCTCGAACATGTCGTGGATATTTCCCACTATGGGCTGGTGTGGACTCATCCCTCTCGTTGCAGGTATCACTAATCGAGTCTTCGTGCTGATGCTGATTTCCTTGGGCCGCAATGTTGTTTGCGATGTTGACATTGTTATCTGCCATTTTTTTTATAATTTTTGCTAAGAACAAAAAATCAAACAGGTTAGTAATAGATGCAGGGATCAACTCAATTACACAATTGTCTAAGCTCCACGGTGGGTGCCAAACTGTTTACCCGTAAAATGGTACAATTGAATTTATACAGAGTTTATAGACAAGTGAATCGATTTGATCCCAAAATAAAGAAATCTTGGTTTCGGGATCACCGGAGGCAGTAGTAACGATATTAATAAGCAAGAAGATAAAATATTATTAAATTTTGAACAGTATATAGTATAAGCTTGTCAGAAAATTCGTGTATCTTATAATGGTTGTTGAACTTACTATTTATAGTTGCTCCTAGGGAACAAGGTCCTAGGATCAAGCCCCTCTTAAATGATAATTATGGGGGCCATTGAAGAATGTGTAACGGCATGCTATGAATGTCATATTCTCTGTAAGGGGCTATGTACTTAATGCTATATAATATTCTCCATTAAATGTTACCGGGTGACATGCATTTATTTCGTCTTTATGAGCAACATTCCCTTCGGGAACAAACGAGATTGCTGCCCTCGGACTTGATTGCCATTTGTCTCATTTTTCATCTATTTTCGGCTTCACGGGTCACTTTATTATGCGAACATTTAATATGAATATATTTTACCTTATACAATGTGTGTGTGTGTGTGTGTGTGTGTGTAGAAAGTTTAAAATTAAAACTATTTTTAAATATAGAGTATGTCATTCCTTTTTAGATGAACTTAAAAAAAATTAACGTGACATATATGTAATTGTTATGAAAATAATTATATTGTGGATGTTCATTTATTACTCCGCTATAGATAATCTTCCTGAAGAAGATTATCCATTTAGTACTGTGTTGAAGTTTATCTACAAGCAGCTGATGCAGGCAGGTTGCAAGCAGCTCAATGAAATGATTTGCAGCAGCTTTTTATTAAACAGGCAGGTTCCAAGCAGTTCATGCAGACAGCTTACAAGCAGCTAAAGAAAAGCCTTGCAGCTGCTTCCTGAACNTCACAACGACCTGGAGTCGATTATGAAGAAACATATTCACCAGTTATGGATGCCATAACATTTCTATATCTCATCAGTTTAGCCTTACGTGAAAGACTTAAAATACATATGATGGATGTGGTTACAGCTTATCTGTACGGGTCACTTGATAATGAGATTTACATGAAAATCCCTGAAGGATTTAAAATGCCTGAAGCATATTCGAAATCTCGGGAAATGTATTCAATCAGATTACAAAGATCTTTGTACGGTTTAAAGCAATCTGGGTGCATGTGGTATAATCGCCTTAGTGAATATTTACTGAAAGAGGGTTACATAAATGATGTTATTTGTTTATGTATTTTTATAAAGAAAATGATATCAGAATTTGTTATACTTGTTATTTATGTTGATGACATAAATCTTGTTGGAAATCCAGAAGAGCTCCAAAAGGCAATTGAATATCTTAAGAAAGAATTTGAGATGAAAGATCTTGGAAAAACAAAACTTTGTCTTGGATTGCAAATTGAACATTTAGCAAACGGGATCTTTATGCATCAATCTGCCTATACAGAAAGGGTTTTAAAACTCTTTTACATGGACAAAGCGCACCCATTGAGTACACCAATGGTTGTTCGATCACTTGAAGTGAATAAGGACCCGTTCCGACCTCCAGAAAAGGATAGGGAACTCCTTGGTCCTGAAACACCCTATCTCAGTGCAATTGGTGCACCTATGTATCTTGCTAATGCTACAAGGCCTGACATAGCATTTTCTGTTAATTTACTAGCAAGATATAGCTCTTCTCCTACTCGGAGACATTGGAACGGGATTAAGCATATATTGCGATATTTAAAGGGAACTCTTGATATGGGTTTGTTTTATGCTAACAAAGATAGTGCAGATCTTGTTGGTTATGCAGATGCAGGTTATTTATCTGATCCCCATAAAGCTCGATCTCAAACCGGGTACGTGTTTACATGTGGAGGTACTGTCATATCATGGCGCTCCACAAAGCAGTCAATTGTTGCTACTTCTTTATATCATGCTGAGATAATAGCTATTCATGAAGCAAGTAGGGAATGCGTATGGTTGAGATCAATGATTCATTTTATTCAAGAAAAATGTGGTTTGGAGTGTGATAAAAGATCCACAATTTTATACGAAGACAATGCTGATGCATAGCCCAATTGAAGGGAGAATTTATAAAAGGAGATAGAACAAAGCACATTTTACCAAAATTATTCTACACACACGATCTTCAGAAAAATGGTGACATTGATGTGCAGCAAATCCGTTCAAGTGACAATCCGGCAGATTTATTCACTAAATCTTTGCCAACTTCAACTTTTGAGAAGATGGTATACAAGATTGGAATGCGGAGACTCAAATATTTGAAACAAGGTTTTCATCAGGGGGAGTAAAATACGCGATGTACTCTTTTTTCCTTACTAAGATTTTTCCCACAGGGTTTTCCTTATAAAGTTTTTAATGAGGCATCTAGAAATGCGTATTACTAAATATGTGTACTCTTTTTCCTTCACTAGGATTTTTTCCACTGGGTTTTTCCTAGTAAGGTTTTAACGAGGCACAATACCTTTTAGTGAACATCCAAGGGGGAGTGTTATGAAAATAATTATATTGTGGATGTTCATTTATTACTCCGCTACAGATAAATTATCCATTTAGTACTGTGTTGAAGTTTATCTACAAGCAGCTGATGCAGGCAGGTTGCAAGCAGCTCAATGAAATGATTTGCAGCAGCTTCTTATTAAACAGGCAGGTTGCAAGCAGCTCATGCAGACAGCTTACAAGCAGCTAAAGAAAAGCCTTGCAGATGCTTCCTGAAAAGCCTCGCAGCTTCTTCCTTTCTTCTATAAATAGAGGAGTTTTCAGTTCATTATGTACAAAAGTTTGAAGTTTGAATAATACATCAGTTTTTCTCTATACTTGTCTTTACTTTACAGTTTTTATTTTATAACAGTAATAATAATAATTTATTTATCTGTGTTTTAAAAGGAAAAAAACTGGACTAGTTGGAGCGTATCTTGGGTAGAGAAGTGAAAAAACCTAAAATCACACCAATTGGCTCTCCCAATCCCTCATTTTCTTGTTTCTTCTTCACACAAAAAGCATCAGCACCATTCAGGAGTGCACAATCATCATTCTCTCTCTGTGGTAAAATAAGACATGACAATTTGCATTATTTTTGCCCCAATTGGAACCCCTCCTCTTCACATGTTTTTCCTCCTCAGAAAATGTGTTTTTGTTCATCATTCTCCTTCTTGTTGGCCCTCCAAACCCTTGTGATCTCTCTCTACCTTTTCCGAATATTCACTTTCCCATTATATATACACACACTTCTTAACCCATAGCTACCACTCAACTTCTCTCGATCTGTTTTCAAAGACATACTCCTTAGTTTTCAACAAGTAAGAACCCCATAATTCACCTTTGTTTTTCATTATTCCCAAACCCCTTTCTGGGTTAGAGTATCAAAGCTGATGCCTTTATGAAGTGATTAATATAGCAAAATAAGATTCTTCTGCATGCTCTATTTTATCGTTGACTTTCCAGATTTTCATGCTTTTATTTGGGCATGTGTATTATTAATAGGTTACTTGGTACAGAATTGGGGTATTGAGGATATAAATGTTCAAAATTGAGGCTTTTGATGTTGATTATTACGTATGGTTTCTTCCCTTTTGTGGTTAATTGATGTCAAAGTAGTGTGCTTTTCTTAGTCTGAAACAGAAACATTGCTTTTCCGGTTTTGAATGCCAAGGATGTTTTGGTTCTGTTCTAAACTATTGTGTACAATATGATTTAGTCATCCGTATAATATATGTTGGAATCTTACTATATAATGGTTTAAATGTTGAGGGCGTAAGCCCGAATAAAAGAGGGCGTGGTAGGCTGACTGCCACTGTAAAAGTAGTCTAAATCCTCTGAATTCATTGACTGACCCTATAACTAGTTTGGGCTTGAGGCATAATTAATTGAGATTCTTTGATAACGTTGTTGATAATTTTATAACATTTATGAACCCGGTAAATTGATTCTTGTCAATGCTTGTTGCAGAAATGAAAAGAGCAGCATACTATAGTGCTGTACCCCAAATGCAGGATCTTTGGCCTATCAAGAAGGCTCTCACATTGTCTGATGTAGATATCACTCATCCATTTCTCACTTTGTCTCGGCAACAAGTAGAGAACCACATTGTATTGCATATGACAACACAACAACAGGAGCATTTGAGAGCCCAAGGCCAAGTAGATTTTAATGCCCGGGATGATGATACAGGTGAGATGTATGTGATGAAGTTGAAATGGCGGGGAAGCTACTACAATCTTATTGGTAAGTGGGGCAGAGTCGTGCGGGGGAAAGGACTTGATGTTGGGCAAGAGATTAAAGTACGTTGGGAAAATGGGTGCTTACACTTCTCAGTCCCACAACAGCAGATTGTTGCAGTCCCACCAATTCGGATGGTGGCAGCACCTGTGGTGCAGGACCACTGGCCCATTAAGAAGATCTTGACACTCTCTGATGTGGACACCAATCATCCATTTCTCCCTCTGCCCCGTCGGTTAGTTGAGGATCATATTCTTGTGCATTGGACAGCTCAGCAACAAGAACAACTGAGAAAGGAGGAGCCTGTGAATGTAAATGCCCGAGATTATGATACTGGCGAAGGTTATATAATGAAATTTAAGTGGAGGGGGAATTACTATAACCTTATTGGGAAATGGGGAACAATAATTCGGCAGAAGGGACTTGGTGTTGGGAAAGAGATCAGGTTGCGCTGGGCAAATGAATGCTTGTTCTTCTCAGTTCCCCAAGAGCGGTATGTTGCCACGGCTTCGGGGATGGATAATTGGCCTATTAAGAAGGCACTTACATTGTCTGATGTCGATACCAATCATCCATTTCTTACTTTGCCCGGCAAAGCTGTTGAAGATCATATTCTGTTTTACTGGTCACAGCAAGCCCGAGAACAACTGAGAAATGAACATCAGATAAATATTAATGCTCGAGATGATGACACTGGAGATCCTTATTTGATGAAGTTAAGATGGCGGGGAAGTTACTATAATCTCATTGGAAAATGGGGAAAAATCATTAGAGGGAAAAAACTCCAGGTTGGAATAGAGATCAGACTACGCTGGGAAAACGGATGCTTATTCTTCTCAGTTCCTCAATTGTAGCAGTGGCGGACCTGTAGATGTAGGAGAACTACCAAATCGCTTTTCCCATTTCATGTGTCATTTCAACATGGAATGCGCATTGGAAATTAAAATTGTTTCAGGAAATAATTCATTGAAGTAGATGGTTTAGCAGAGCTGGAACTAAAACTATCCAGGCAGCAACTGACTGGCACATGGGACTGACCAAGCACAAATCTTATCAGGTGATGCACCGCAATGCAACAGTTTTACTTAAACTACTCCTGTGAGGGTGTAATAAGTGGCACCTTTCCTCCTGCGATTGTTCCACCCCTACCTTACTTTTTTGTGTGTAGTTTGGATTAGTCAAGTTGATGTTATGGGATTGGTTTTTCATTCATTTGATCTTGATATTCCCCTTCATTTCATCCAAATATTTCCAGCTTGTAAGGCTATGGCTCTCTTATTTCCTTTTCATGTTTGATTCTTCAGTGGAATTGAAAAGGTGTTAATGCAACTTCTTTTCATCAATAAAAGTTATGATTACTTATAAAAAATAAAATAATTGAACTGCAACTTCTTTTCATCTTCATATGATTTTTCCTGCTTATTATGTTTCACGCTTTTTTGTGATCAGCAATGGTAATTTTATTGATTTCAGCAGCACTAAGATGGTGCTGTGAGTGATGCACATCTGAAAAGCAAAAAAGAGGGTACCTGGCTCAACTATTTAGGGAGCCAGCACAATCTAACAGTGTTTCAGCATCATTTACATGTTTCAAATTATACCAATAAAGCAATTAAAGTTAGCAGTTGATCTTCATGATTGAGTTAATCTTCCCTTCAAAATACCTTCTATTTCTTTCTTTCCGCAAAGTCCATAATATACATGCTGGAATAGTGGGCCAACTTTTTTCTCAAACCCTTGTTCCTACTTTTGTTGTTCCAACGTTCTAGCAGCTTAGATAAAGGACTCATGCCAGTTCCATAATATTCGCAAATAGATGTCAGAAACAAATGATTGGCACTTTCTTTTACCCCAGTCAATGTAGAAACAAATGATTGGCACTTTCAGCTTTTTCTCCACACATGTAGCACCTATGCTGAGTTGATAACCTCTTCTTTGTAAGTTATCTTGAGTCAGGCAAGCTTCCTGATCAACCAAGCACACTAAAAAGCCTCTTTATAGAGTGCTTTTGATCTCCGTATCTGCTTCAATGGCCATCGGCCAATCTGGTCTGGTCCTCTCGTCAGAACTGAATTGATTTGACTGTGAAGATGTCTTTGTTTTTTGCTTTACAAGACAGCTGGTCTGATCCATCAGAGAAATATCGGGAGGAGCCCAAGACATTGAAGAAATTTGTCATGCTTCCTATTTCCCAATCATTGAAGTTCCTTCTAAACATGACAATCAATTTGGTCCTTACTCTTTGCCAGACTAAGATTAGTATCTTGTGCCAGATAAACAATATTGGGTATTGTTCTTTTAGAGGAGAATGCGTTAACCAATTGTCGTGCCAGAGAGAAACATTTCTCCCATTTCCAACTTTGTACACAATGTTTTCAGCAAAGAGTGGCCACTGTGATCTGATACATTTCCACATCTCATGTGGTTCGGATCTCAGGTTTGTACACCATTCATTTGATAGCCCGATATTCTCATTGATCATTGTTAGAGTTTCTTCTTCAAAAGCAAATCTCCATAGCCACTTCATGACGATGTTCTTATTCTATACCCTTAAGTTTTTTATTCCCATTCCTTATCCTCTTTCTTTATGCACACAATACTCGACGTAACTAGATGATTTGCTATTTTATTCTTGATTCTTAGTCTATCAATCCTATTTTCCACCTTGACAGGCATGGCAAATAAGGACATATGTATGAATAGAGTTCAAAATACTGTTGTTAGAATCAAATGACCTCACAATGACAATATTGTCTCTTTCAACTGGTTAGCCTTTTCTCACATTTTTCCATCACCCCATTTCATATTGCATCTGACCTGTGTTTTGCTCCAAGAGGAAGGCCCAGATATGTAGCTGATAAACTTTCTATTCTGCAACCCAAAGTATTTGCTAATTCCTCTATGTTTTGGAATTCATGACCGGAAGAAGTTTTCTTTTCCCCCAGTCAATGTGAGGCTCTAACACTGTGTCAAACACTGGTAAAATCAGCCTCTTCAAGTTATCATCTTCATAAAATGTTGAGTTGCTCAGATTCTTTTGATGTTCTCTGGATACTTTTTTTTTTTAATCCGCTGGATGCATTGAAACCCTTTATCCATCCTTCCTGTACAGCTGTCCTGAGCGTCCTACTTAAACCCTCCATCACTAATATGAAAAAGAAAGTGGAGAGAGGGTCCCCTTGCCTGATACCCCTTTCAGTGACAAAAAAAGCCTTCAGGTATCTCATTGATGAGAATAGAGAGTTTGAATGTGCTGATTCGATGTCTTATCCAGTTTAGCTATTTCCTTCCAAATCCCATTTCGGAGAGCTTTTGAGCAAGAAAGCCCCAGCTTACATAGTCATGTTTTTTCAATGTCGACCTTCTTTTTCCCATTCATTTGCTATGAGCACCGAATCCATAACTGGCCTCCCTTTAATAAATGCCACTTTTTGAAAACAACCTTTTTTATCTTTCAGTTGGGAGCTTTGTGATTATCTTATAGAAACTATCAACAAGACTAAGATGTCTAAATTCCTTTAGATCAGTATGGCTTGTGTTTTGAACTCCTACAGCTCTCCATCTTTTGTTGGTTTCAATCTAGAATGCCTTCCAATGATGATGTTCAAGGAACACAAGCACACACAAAAATATGTTACTCCCTCTCCATTTTATGTGATGCACTTACATTTTAATTTGTCTTGAAAAGAATGACACCTTTCTTTTCTTCCGAATTGACACCTTTCTATATCTAATTGCATTTACTTTAATTTTCCCATTTTACTCCTAATTTTTAGCCACACTAATCTCATGGCAAGTTTAAAACCATATGGTTCAAAAGTCTTTTCTTTCTTAAACTTTGGTCCCGATCAAAAACCTTCACACTAAATGGGATGGGGGGAGTAATATTTTTCTATGAAGTTGGGTGGGTGTATTAATGTGGAGAAAATTCGTCCTGATTCCGGAACATGTGCTTCCAATCTGCCACTTGTCCATGGGACCAAGCAAATGCAAATGTAGGCTGAGGAAGGGTTGGGTGGGTGTGTTACTGTGGGAGAAATTCGCTCAGTCCCAGATACTGCATTTTCTAATCTGCCACTTTTCTACCAGACCAGTTGTGAAGACAAACATGGGATTAAGTAGAACCTTTTACAAGAAGGTGGTTTGGTCTTTTGATTTGTTTTCTTAGAGTGTTTCTTGGTTTAATTACTCACTTGATGTTTGAACTTGAACTAGATTATTTTGGTCCCATTTCGTGCTTGATGATTAATACTTACATTGTAGCTTTCATTTTTTTTTGTTTCTCTAAATAATTTTTGTCAAGGATATTTGTTAATATTCTGTAATTAAGGACTTAGATCAGGGAATACACAATATATCTGTTATAATCAATTAGGGAGATTTTAATCTGGTAAGTTGTGCATTGTTTAGACTCTAGAACATGTGTACACATTAACCCAAATAGCATCAGAGAGAAATCAAGTTGTGCATTCTCGAAATGTCTTTCTCTCTTCTTCTTACTCTACAATTTTGACGGACACGAAAGTCCAGGTGTTTGGTTGTTTTGAGACTAACTGTTGTGTCCGACTTTTCAGGCTCTTAAGATTACAAAGACAAATTACCCCTGCTTTAGTTGAACCTGATCAATGATGGAATTTGTCCAGACTAACAGATCGATTTTCTACTGAGCCTTCTGCTGCACATTGTTCAGTGACCACTACAATCTTCTCATGGTATATAACACCATCTGCTCATCTTTGGGTGCATGATGGTACGGCAGCATAAATAACTAGATGATTCCAGCTACTTGAAAGTCTTCAAGCCAGACGTGATCCTAATGAGCACAGCTACTGCAGTCAATATGACCTCTACCTTTGTTTTTTGCCGAAAAAGGACTGTAGTTTTCTACTAGATATTTATAATTTGACCCTTCAGTACAACCAATTGGATATTCCTGTTTTGTGGTAATTCTTTTTTACTAAAAATTACTAGGAACCTCAGAGGTTCTGGGCTCTCAAAGGAGAGAGAAGGGATAAGGAGAGATTCGTGGAGCCTTCAGTGTTTTGGTTTAATGGTAAAAGTGCAGTGTGTGACATGTGGATTAGGTGCACATCACGGGTTTGAACTCTGCTGCAGACAAAGGCATGGTATTTAAGTGGTGAAGGGTAAAGGGGCGGGCATATTATCCCTGAGTTTCGAACCATGCGCCAGCTGGCTCTCAGCGATTTTTCGGTTTATCCAAAAAAAGAGAGATTCAGGGAGCATATATATACGGATGGAAAAGGAAGGGTATGTGTCCCTGCATAATTTGCGCAGTTGAGAACTAGGAAAGCTGGGTATCAGAAAGTGACTGCAGCATAGGAGTTATGTGCTGTGTTAGGCTGCTGAAACTGAAAGCAGTAGACATGATTGCAGGACTTGATCAAATTGCTTCACTGGCTGCACAAGAGTATTTGGCATCTGCTGGTGGTTCCAAATAAGCTAGAAGCTTCACTAAAGTTGTTGTTTGGTGACAAGTGAGGCTTGCTCAGTTGGTAAAAGCACCTCCACCTATGACCGTTAGGTCCTGAGTTCGAGTCACGCTGGAGGGGAAGTGTGGAAACACTATATATCCTCCTAATTTGGGAGGGGTTTAAAAAAAAAAAAAAAATTGTTGTTTGGCGGCGGGCGGTTACTGTTTGGTTGTGTGTTTAATTAAGTAGTGATATTTTCTAGATCATGATTGGTTAGGTAATCTCTCATTTGTCATATGTCAGATCAAAGCTGAACCGTGTAGGATAAGGTTGGGAATGTTGTTTGTCCTTTATATTTATGGTTTCGTTCGGAGAAGATGGAGAAGAGCATAAATCTACGAGGATGTATGCTAATTGCCTAATCAAGATTTTCCCTTTTAAGATTGGTCTTAAGAGCCAAAAATGTCAAAAGTGGTGTGTGTAAGTCATCATCTCTCTATCTCTTGGTCTTCAAAAATTTGGACCAAAGAAATTTGCTGGATATGACAATTCGTTTTGATAATTGTGAAATTACCGTAGGCTAGTATGTAAAACTGGTGACTTGTACAGTGTGGTAGCATGTATGTTCGAGTATAACTTGTTATAGAGAGTAGTTCTCCTAGTTCATTAATTGAGCTTTGACCTCCACAATGTCGGAAATTAATGTTTTACATATTTCTCAGAACTAGCAGTTCCACAGTTAGCGACTGCTGAAACTGAGTGAGGACTCTTCAGAATGTGAGTTATCCCTATTTGAATTTGGGTGCAGCATAAACAATGAGTTGTAACTTACCTGCTGTGTTGCAATTCTGATTCTCTTCTATTGACTTGGACAAACAATCCCCGTAAAGTTACTAAAGAAGCTCATCGAACCAAATATCCACACGGCCATACCTCGTGCAATAAATCAAAGTACTAGGAAGTAGGAATATCGCAATAATTCCCCGTGTTATTAATGGAAAGCAGACTACATCATCACGTGAACACTGATGTATTGACATTAAGAAAATTGAACAAATCCCACCCTTGCTCTCTTTTACCTTTTGAGTTTTCTTCTGGACAGATACCAAAGCAGAGAAGTAGGAGAACTAGCATATTCATGTCAAGGCACATCTGAATGATGCAAGTAGAATCTGGCAAATTGAGATATGGAGAAACTATAAATTTTAGGAAGTGTTGCGGGATAAAAGTCATTTCTTCAATCGTGCGACAAATAACTCTCATTCCAACGTAGTGTTTCTACTGTGCTGTGGTTACAATGTGCTTGATTCTTGGAGTTTCTATTAGGAAAAAAAGAAAAAAAGTCAATACTGTTCTGCAGTTGCAATACTGCTGTCAGTTATCACATCCTTTGCAAATCACTTAAAAAACACTAAATAGAACCATATACTTCCATTGGAAGTTCCATTGGTCGAAGACTCCTAGAGTGATTGTCTCTTCACTTACAGTGATTTTTGTGCATTCCAAGTCACACATTACTTAGGCTAATCAATTACCATTAAACCTGCAGAGCACTTTAAAAACTTTTATTTCATAATGGAAATAAAGGACATCGCCCCCTTCCACAAAACTGCAATTGTTAGGTAACCAGCTAGCTGAGCAGTAGAAAATTATCTAAATGAAGTGAAAGATATCTTTAAATAAAACACGGCAGTAACACTCTTAACACCGTAAAAGACAGGTGTAACAAGTCCCGCAACAACAAGCTTACAAACTAGCATCCTAATACAAGACAAAAAGTTCAAATTAATGTCCAAACAGATAAATGCAAACAAAACTATAGAAGCTCCAATTGAGCAGGTTAAATATCTTTTGCCAGCTTGAACATCCATCTTATAGCTTGTCCTCAAACTCAGACAGAGGAGTCACCGCCTGCTTCAAACCCTTCCTCTTGCGGATATCAAGGACGAGTTGATGAGCTTGTGTACCAGCATCCAATGGATCAGATGACATCATGTCCCAATGATCGAACACACATTGTGGGAAAGCTTGACCAGATGTAGCAGCCCTCAAGGTACCTGAGAATCCAAACGACTCGATGACAGGAAGGTAAGCCTTGATATTGTAAAGAGGAGTTCCTGGCCTCTGCATCTCCTCGAACACATGTCCACGCTTCTGGTTCAGAACACCATAGATGCCACCAAGGGCTTGCTCTGGAGCCTGAATCTCCACAAGGTAAACAGGCTCCAACAGGCGGGGCTTGGCGGTAAGCTGAGAAGCATAGATAACCCTCCTAGCAGTGGGAATAACTTGGCCACCGCCCCTGTGAATAGCATCAGCATGAAGAACAACATCACAGACTTCAAAGCAAATACCTCTCATGTTCTCTTCAGCCAATGCACCTTCCTTGGAAGCCCACTGGAAACCAGCAACAACAGAATCCTTAATTTCATTCAGGTACTGAACTCCCTTACACATATCCACCACCATGTTGGGACCAGTTGTCTCTGGACCAAAGCACCAAATTTTCTTTGCAAGATCCTTATCCCAGCCAAACTCCTCAGACAAGATCTTGGAACGAACTTTGGGATCATCCCTAGGGCCAATGCGTCCATCATCAATAGCCTCAGCAAGACCTTCCTCCATGGGTCTAGCTTCCATGTACAAACGGTTATGCTTGTTAGGAGACTTGCTCATCACAGTCCTACAAGACTTCTCAAGGACAGTCTCACGGAAGGACACAACAGGATCAGACACTATAATTTCAGCACCGCCCATGAAATCATCCTGCAAGTCCTTCAAGCAGATCTCAAGGTGGAGTTCTCCAGCACCAGCAATGATATGCTCTCCAGACTCTTCAATAGAACAAAGAACCATAGGATCAGACTTAGCCAGACGCTTCAACCCTTCAACAAGCTTGGGAAGGTCAGATGCAAGCTTGCACTGAACAGCAACTCGCACAACTGGTGAGACAGAAAACTTCATTGCTCTGATTGGATGGGCCTCGACTTCCTTCTCATTGGTCAATGTTGCATTCTTGGTAATAAATTGATCAAGACCGACCATAGCAACAGTGTTACCACAAGGGACATCCTCAACAGTTTCTTGCTTCTTACCCATCCAAATAACAGTTCTCTGCACATTCTTAACATACAAATCCTTCTTTTCACCAGGTACATAGTTGGGACCCATGATTCTGACCTTCATANTCATTCTGACATCACCTGCGACTTCCTGAGCAATAATACCAGCAGCCGCCACCAGAGAGTCGGTGAGAGTAGATTTTCCTGTCAGATCAAAGATAATCAGGTAACTAGAACCAGAGATGGTATGCTATTAGCAATACCTCAAATCTGTTCTACAGACGGAAAGGAAAACTGGAGAAGAAAACTAATGAAATAACATTAAGCAAAACTGTACTACCCAAAAAATACATAATAGTATGATGTTATTGTCAATATTAACTCCAGGTGATCAGTGGGCAATAAAGTTTCTCTTCCTCGACGTGAACAAAAACATTCTCAAGAAAAACTATAATTAAGTAACATCATCAGAATTATTTCAGTTGCTTACCATGGTCCACATGAGCAATAACAGACATATTACGAATGTTATGCTTGTAGTCCATAATGTTTCTAAGCTCTTCAGCTGTGAACTTCACCATCTTGATTACTTGTTAACTGTAACAGCTACAGAATTATTTATGTTCCTGACATTTGAAACCACAACACAAATTAGACTAACCAAAAAGATCCACCAAAACATAGTTTATTACCCTAAAAATCAGACCCATGTGGCTAAGCCACCAATTATCAAACAGCAATCTAGTCGAAAAGATTCAAACAGAACAACAGGTAGAACTAACACATCTCATATGCGTGAAGGTTTCAAGATTGTTAATAGGTATAATACACACATATAAGAAATAGACGGACACTCAAAGGTTCAATAATAACCAAACCGTGAAAATTTCAAAAGATAGATTCTAAAAAGACACACCAGACCACATAAAGTTTTTTAAAAGGAAGCTTTATGTTTATCAGAGTCATCAAACAACAATAAAGAAGCAAAAAGGATAGCTTACACATCATATTTGCACGAGGCCTATACAACCCCACTGAGCATAAACTGACAATGAAATATACAATATTTAGCTCAATAAAACCATTAGTCCATCATGCTTGCAAACTACAGACACTAGCTAGACACAATTTTAACACACACACACACTCAGATATCTACACACAAACATATATACATATACATATACACAGATATATCAGGAATTCATCAGAAATGAAAAAACTCAACATGAACTCAACAGCCAAATTGTAATGCCATAAACCAAAAACATCAAGCAAAATACACATCCTAAGACATAAACCAAAAACATCAAACAAGTGATTGAGATATTTGCACCTATTTAACAACCAGATATTATGAAAAGCTCCCGTGATTCATATCATCTATATACCTATCTGACGTAGACATAAATCTTAAAATAGATTGGAAGACATCTCTACCCAACACATATCAATTAATTGTGACGATTTTCAGGTTACTCCAGCTGTTTACACCGTATATCTCCTACCTAAAATGTCTTATTATCAATCTTAATACTTAATGAATAACATGATACCTATGCAAAGAAGTAAAATTAGAAAAGTTTACAAAAGAAAACAACATCTCTTTCACTCAATTGGGTTATCATATTATTCAATACATAATTCAACGATGCGAGTTTTATACTAATTTAGTAACCTTAAAAAAAACTGGGTAAACAAAGATCCAAAATTTTCAACTAAAAAAGAAACGGTTTTAAGAAACAATACTAGTATTATATATACAAGGGAAATGAAAATAGCAAGTTATCGATAAAACACTTAACGTAAATAAACAGGCTAAAACTACGACTAGCATAAGAGAGATTATACGAAAAATACACATGAAAAATTGCAAAGAGATGGAAAATGAAGGCCTTACAGTGCAGAGAGAAGAGAAGGAGGCGGCGAGGTCTTCTCTTTGCAGCACTAAAAATCCCTTGTGCTACTGCTGCTATAAGGGTATTATATACTATTTGTAACTGGGTCGGTCACAGTCGATTTATGGGCTGGAATGATGGGCTATTTGGGGCCTTATTTTGTATCTTTATTAATGGGCCTTACTCGAATGTGGGAGAGAGTTGGGGTAAAAATTGCAGGGGCCGCCCTATTTGGTCGTCCCTTTTTAATTTATACCTGTTTTATTTTTTCGTTTGTATCCGTACCCATTTTTTTGTTAAAAGCATTTTAAAAAGACGATTTTGCCCTTTTTTTAATAAAAGACTATTGACAAAACTGTAGACTGCATGGCAAAACTTCAGCATGTTTTGGTATGAAGTTTTAGCAAATGAACTAAATAACCTCAGCATGCATTAGAAAAAAACTAATTAAGAAATTACATACTGCAAGATAAAAACTTAAGTATGTTTAGTCTGAAGTTTTAGCAAATGAACTAAAAAACTTTAGCTTGTTTAGACTAAAGTTTCGGATAAAATTCATGACAAAACTGTAGACTGCATGACAAAATTTCAGCATATTTTGGTATGAAATTTTAGCAAATGAACAAAATAACTTCAGCATGCATTAGCAAACATTCATTCGAAATTTACATACTGCAAGACAAAAACTTAAGCATGTTTAGTCTGAAATTTTAGCAAATGAACTAAAAAACTTTAGCTTGTTTAGACTAAAGTTTCGGATAAAATTCATGACAAAACTGTAGACTGCATGACAAAATTTCAGCATATTTTGGTATGAAATTTTAGCAAATGAACAAAATAACTTCAGCATGCATTAGCAAACATTCATTCGAAATTTACATACTGCAAGACAAAAACTTAAGCATGTTTAGTCTGAAATTTTAGCAAATGAACTAAAAAACTTAAGCATGTTTTGTCTAAAGTTTTAGCAAATGAACTAAATAACTTCAGCATGTTTAGACTGAAGTTTCGAATAAAACTCATGACAAAACTGTAGACTGCAGGATAAATAACTTCAGCATGCATTAGCATGAAGTTTTAGCTTCAATGTGAAACAACGTCATGCTATATTAGCACGAAATTTTAGCTTCAACATGAAACAACTTCATGCTACATTAGCATGAAGTTTTAGCTTAAAGGTGAAACAACTTTATACAAATGTGATTCTGAAGATGAATCTGGACAAGTTTCTGGTTTTTGATAAAGCTGCTGAGAGGAGAAGAGGAGATCTTTTTTCACAAATGAGGTTGCAGATCACGCGATTAATGCGTGATGCATGTTTTATATCTTTTGTCAGGATTATAATTGTCATATTATTACGGATTTTTTGTCAGCTGGCTAACAAATCAATAATTTTTAAAAATAAGGTATATGTTAAAAGGTGACACAAATATAAGGTACGGTTGCAAATCCCCAAAGTTGGGAGTATTTGAAGCCCGTGGTCTAGCAATTACAATTTGTTTTGGGGTATAATGCATAAATATCTCCTATACTTGTCCTTTTTTCCCAATCGAACACAATGCCAGCTCTAGGGAGAGCTACTAAAACAATTGCTTTAGGTCACTTAGAATTGAAGGCCCCAAAAATTTCAAATTATATACTATTACATATTATAAAATTATTATAAAATATACATATTTTATACTTTTTTATTTTGAATGTGATAGAGGTTATTCAAATAAATAACTCGAATTTTATAATGGATATGCAATATATGACAAGAAACAATTGGATGACGACTTTGTTAATTAAAGAACAAAGGTTCTTGTAATATCTTTTAGAGTTGATTATTTTTTATAAAGAGTGGATTAAGACATTTGTCACTTCGGTAGATTTGAACTATTTTAAATAATGAAATTATGTTGCCATCTATTTAGTGGTAGAAAACTGAGATTATTAGAATAAGAGAATTTATAAATGTATTATCTTAACCGTTAATATATGTTTCTTATAAAAATATTCTTTAAGCCTTAGTGAGTAGAATTATTAAATATTTACAATAGTGAGAACTAGCAAGTAAATGAATGAATGATCAAGATACATACAATATCTTCGATATCATCACAAAAAATAAAAATATATTAAATTTTATTTAATAAATTTAAGGCCTCTTATTGAGGTTTGTTTTTAGGCCACCAGTATCGTTAAACCGCCTCTAACTGAACATCTTAACTTTTTGTCCATTAGGGTTCCTATTTTCGTTGAGATGAAAATATGAAATACATAAATAGCTTTAAAAGTGGATGATCTTAAGTTTTTGTCCCCGCTTGTCTCATGGACAAAACTTTAAATTTAATAAGTGTTGCCTCTCGCTTGACCCATGGGCAATACTTTTAACTTCTGACTTTAAAATTCTGTCAATAGGGCAAACATAGTCACAAATTAAAGATTACCCCAAATATTTCTACATTATTTTGTTTCCATTTGTATACTTGTTTGAATTGGTATAAATATGGGATCTTTACACAAATAGCCGAACGAATTTACTATTTACTTTTACTAGCTGGTAGGGGTGTACAAACCAAACTGAAAAATCGCACCAAACTGAAAAGTCAAACCAAAACGATTAAATAATTCAACTAGGTTTGGTTTGATTTAGTTTGGTATTGAGTAAAAAAAACTCGAACCAAACCGACATATTAATATATAATTCTCATATATACTTTTAAGATTTTATAGAATTTTCTTTAAAAAACGCCTATTGGAATTCTCTTACGTGATATAATATTTAATAGAATATGAAGTGCTCCATCTTTATTAACTTTAAATAATGCGTTGTATGATCACTTTCTTATCAAGTGTTACTGAAATGAGTCAATCTCTTTGTTCTTCCATATTCATATGTCAAGAGCTATTAAATTCTTATATCTTTTTTGAATTTGAAGTGGTTATTATTATTTTGGGTATCATATTGATTTTTATGTTTAATTACTAAATTCGGTTAACCTTGAAAGTATAAATCAACAAAAAATTATTGTCAAACGACTAAAAAAATAACTATCATGTGTTACTAAGAAAATTCTCCCATAAGAATATTTTAATAGATAATATGTTTGTCAAGTTTTTAAATTTTTACTAAACATATATTTACTTATCAAAAATTTAACAAAATAAGATTTAAATAATATCTAAGTAATAAAAAATCTGAAAAATCCAAAAAACACGATAAAATCGAATCAATCCAAAATTGATATAGTTGGTTTGGTTTGGTTTTGATAAAAAACGAACCAACCCGGTCCATATACAACTCTATTAGCTAGTATACATAATTATACATATATTATACATCTGGTGGCTATTTTTAATTTAAATAATTGGGTGGACGAATATTTAGATTAATTATTCTATAAATATGTTCTATTGTGCCCACGCGACACATGTAGTGTTTGCACGAAATGGGTAGCGCGTGAGAAGATATATATATATATATATATCTGGCCACGCGTGTTGCGCGTGTACCTCTTATCGGTGAATATAATATTTTAAAAATGACATAGATATTAATTATAAAACAATCAAATATAATTTCTTGAAAATGATAAGGTGTACGACCTAGATAAGTCAAGAGAGGAAGATAATTAAACTGTTTTTGTTAATATTGCATAAATGACATGTTTAACTTTAATTTCATGTGCTTGAAGTATTCAAAAATAATTAATTACCCAAATAGACTTTTAGATTGTTATTTTTATTAGAATGTGGATTTACATGTTTGTACAAAAATATTTCTTAAATAATTTTGTTTGAAGGGCAAAATAGTCATTCAACTTTATATGACTATTTTAATCTTTTAACTTTGACTTAGGATTTTCATATATGATATATATATGGAACGTAAATAGTTTTGACTTGTGTGCTAAAATATTTTTGCCCATAATAATGGCATTCATCTAACAAAAGTACATGATAGCACTTGGCTTGAGGCAAAAGCCCCACAACTGAAATTATTACAAACTCTTTTTTTTTCTTTTAATTCCTCTTGTTTGTTTATGCACAATTCTCTAGATTTCAACACCAGAGAAAATCTAAAAATTATTTCACGAGTCTCAGTTACCTGCTTCTTGATCATTTCCCCTTGCTTTCAATGAAAGTCCATGCACACTTATTTTCTGCAGCAGTAGGACCCTAGTAATAGGAAACCACCTACTTTTCTACTACACAACTTTGATTATTCAAACTACTCTTAGTATAAATATGTGACTGCTAACAAGTCAGACTCCTACACATTATTTTCTTGCTTATACTTATCCCTTCAAACTAAAACTCGTTCTTTAATTTGAGAGCAAAAAAGAAAGGGAAGAATTCAAGAGTCTGTTTTTGTTTTTCAAGGTGAGGAATTACTACAATTATGGGTTGCTTTTTACTGCTTCTTTGTTGTTGGTGTGTGGGTAGAGTTTGTAGGTTCAGTGTTAATTTCTTGAGCTGTTGTGTTTTGTTAAAATTAAGCAGATGATAGTGTTGCTTGAAACTATTCCATGAAATGACCTGCAGACCTTACATATTTCATCAATTTTGAAAACTGAGGTGTTAGTTTGCTCTCCCCGGCTTTTTGTCCATTGATAATTTGTATTTTGAGTTTTTTTTTAAATATTAATAATGTTGCCGAAGTGCCCTTTTTCTGTTTTAGAGAGAAGACATGTTGATTTTCCCACTGTCCCTTCTCTAGTTACAGAATTTTCTTGAATTCTTTTGTTTTTATGCTATTGCTGAAAAAAGTTAAGGTTCTCCTCTTTTATTTGTGGGGTTTTTGGGAAAAGTTGCTATTTACCTTTGGAGTTTTTAGTGACTTTGAATTATTTGGAATTTCCTAATTTGAAACAAAATCAATGGTTTCTTTTAGCAGGATTCATTATAAGGCATCTGAGGTCAAATTGCAGCTTGTCCAGTGAATGGGACTCTCTCTTTCAATACTCTTATCAGCATGGAATGAAATTCTAAGGCATAGTTATCTTATTTTTCCGGACACAATGGGAAGATCTATTGTCAGATCAGTAAGCATTGAGAGGAAAAATGGAGAACTA